AAAGTGGAATTCAGATCCATCGTTAGTACTGGTATCCAGCGTCCTGCAAGAGCGTCGAGCGTCTTGGTGAGCCACCTGATGATTGCCTCGCAGGTGTTGGAGTACCTCAGCTGGTCCTCCTTGTTGCGGGTAGCAGGCGGAAAGTATAAAGAAATGAAAGCCACTCTGACAGATTGCCTCTCCAGCTTGCAGCATAGTACTCTGCCTTGCAGCCCTCGAGGGGCCGAATCAACTCCACGTAGGTGACTCTGCCGAAAAAACTTATAGTGGAACCACATACTGAGTCCGCAAGACTTGTTAGACATGGCCCCCGACTTCCAGCCTTCTGAAAAGCCCCAGAATGAAGAAAGATGACGCACCTCCCTGCCCCCATGAAGCTCCTTCTCCTGAGTACCGATGAGGCTCACCACCGTCACATTGTGCAGCTCATCCAGTATATCCTGGCGCGCCCACGGGTGGCGCTGTTGGGGTTGTAAGCGACGATGCTTGTCTGCCCAAGAAGCGCCGCTGAGCACTCAGACGACATGGCGACATGCTGCTGTGTCTGCTTGCACTTGTGAATTTCTGAAGTGGCGCGCGGCTGCTCAAGCCTCACACGGCCACTTGGAGGAAGAGGAGGAGGAGGAGGAGGAGGAGGAGAAGGAGAAGGAGGAGGACCAGAGTAAACCCAAGACGCATCAACGAGGTTGCAAGAAACCATGATTTCAAGTTCCCTCTTCGGAGGTCCCTGGCATGATTGGTTTGCATTGCGGGAAGTGGCCCGTTGGAAGACCACCGTCTGAGAATTTCCAACTTCAACACTGCGAATCCATGTTATTACTGCGTCCCCGCCCACCCTGAATCGTACCAGAACGTTATTCTTGGGAGTTCAACACCGCGAATCAATATGACAGTTGTGCCTTGACAATCTTAAATTGTGCCAGAACGTTGTTCTGGATACACCAACCATGCGAATAGTTGAAAATGCTTGTAATTTGGAAGACAGCTGCGCGCAGCGCTGAGGCGAGAGCCATATTTTGAAAACCACCCGCCCTCCATCAGTGACATTATTGCAGACGTTTCAGACGAGAGTGCGCGGCGTCACGGCGAGAGCCACATTTTGAAACGGCCCGCCCTCCTTCCCGAAAGCGCTTGCGAACTTTTGTGGCGGATGTGCGCGGCGTTACGGCGGGAGCCACACTTTGAAAAGAAGCCGCCCTCCTGAAGTTCTTGCAAACCTTGATGACGAGTGTGCGTGGCGCCAAGGCGAGAGCCACATTTTGAAAAGGAGCTGCCCTCCACCAGTGAAACGTTGGCAAACTTTCGAGCCGACTGCGCGCGGCGCTGAGGCGAGAGCCACATGTTGCAAACGGCCCGCCCTCGACCCCTGAAACGCTTGCAAACTTTGAGGACGAATGCGCGCGGCGCTATGGCGAGAGTCACATTTTGCAAACGGCTCGCCCTCCATCCGTGAAGCTCCTGCAAAGTTTGAGGACGAACGTGCGCGGCGCTAAGGCGAGAGCCACATTCTGCAAACTGCCCGCCCTCCATTCGTGAAGCCGTTGCACATAATCAGCTTCATGATCATAAATGGTGAGGAAGTCTCAAGCGAAACGTCTGGCCCGCCCTACCAACACGTCTCGGGAGCGACAGGAGGATTTGTTTATAAGGATAAGGGATGGAGGAGGAGGAAGAAGAGGAAGAGGAGGAATATAAGGAAGGGGGGAGGGAGAAGGGGGGAGGGGTGCACCATAGTTATGCAAAGCGCCCTCCATGTTGCTTAAGGGGGGAGAAGAGAAAGGGCCCCCCGAGGCACATGCCGTGCCTCACGTCAGCGCTTATGCTGCAAACTCAGCGAGTAAGGCGTTCCGCTAGCCCTCAGGCTGCTGCCCCTAAGCCCTAGGCCCTAAAACCAATAGGCCCTGCAGGCTACACTCAGCCGTCAGCAGGCACCTGCACACCTTGCGCCACAACGAACACGGACGTGAGATCCTCCATCCAGCCGTCGACCAGCATGGCGTTGCGCCGCGTGTCGCCCGCCAACGCCCTGCGCCCCTGAACTCCTGCCGCCGCTGCAGCTGCCGGGGTCTCGCCGCTGGCTCTCACCGAGCGGGCCCACTCCCACCCCAGACCGTCTCTCCCGATGCCCCCCCCTCTCCCACTGAAATGGGGCTTTCCCCCGCTGGGCAGCAGAGGTGGGCCGCGACCTTCCTCTCCATGTCCGCCGCTCGGCTGGCCTGCTCCGCGGCGGCGGCGGGGCTGCCCCGCTGCGCGGCTTCCGGGTGCTGCTTTCGAGCCGCCTGCCCTGCTGCGGCCTCGCACCAGCGGGGGTGTCTGAGCCTCGTGCGGCAGAGGCGCGCCGCGTCGGCGCGGCGGTGACCCCAGCGCGGTCGTTGGATGCTGAACGCCACTGCTTGGCCGATATCGGCCGACCTCGCATCGGCGCTGGTGCGACCACCAGCAGCAGCCCCACCGTCCGCGCGCCACCACCTGTGGCTCCTGTGCCAGAGCACCACCGCATAGTCGCCCGCTGCCACCTCGACCAGGCCGCCAGCACGTCCAGCTCGGGGATCAGCAGGAAGACGTCCTGCTCATCGGCGTCTTCCCTCGTGGTGCCCAGTGTCCAGGTCCAGCTAGCTACACCTCGCCCCCGCTCTCGACGAGCCCGCCGTCGGCCACCTCGACCGTCCCGAGGGCAGAGATGGGCGGCACCACGGCCGCAGACTTGCGGAGGTCCGCGCGGATTTCTTGGATCGGCGCCGGGCCCCCATGCCTGGCGCACGGAGCGCGCCAAGGGCGGCGCTGGAGGCGCCGCCAGGGGTGTCCAGCGCAGATCCAAGAAATCCGCGCGGGCCTCCGAAAATGTATGTTGATGCAGTTCTCTTGTGTTACCCCACTTCCTGCGGCGCGTACTCGTGGCGCAGTGCCCTCCGCAAGGGCATCCTCTGCTGCCGCAAGCCCCTCTCGGCCACGCGCACAGGGGAAGGCTTCTTGGAAGCACCCTGCATCTTAGAATGCGCGAGCCCTATCTATAGATGTAAGGCCAGCGCCCTTTGAGAAGCAGGCTCCTTCTAATATGCTTTTCCTTTTCCCCCTGCCCCCCTCTGCGCGCCGCCAAGAAGGGTCCCAGCCGACCAGGCCACCGTGCGGTAAGCCTCTCTCCCTCAAGCCTGTGGCGGGCGGGCTCTCGTGCGGTAGGCCTCCCACCCGAGAGGGTGCCTGCTGGCCAAGCCACAGCACGGCAGCTCGTGCCACCAAGCCACGACCGAGAGAGGGCACCAGCGACCGAAAGGGTGCCGTGCTGCAGCGATGCGACCAGAAGGCTTCCCCCCTCCCCCCATACGCCCTTGCGCGCGCCGCCAATGCTTGGCCGTCAGACGCGCGGTGGCCACCGAGCGCGCCGGAGGACGCCAGCGCCCTCCACGCCGATGCCGTCGCCGGCGGCTCCCCGCGCGGGCACGCCGGGGGGCATCTCACGGGCGCGGCTCGGTTGGTCGGGCACGTCGAAAGTGGGACGGGGGGAGGGGGAGGGGGACGAGGAGGAGGAGGAGGAGGAGGAGGAGGAGGAGCAGCAGATCCTCATTCTGCAAACGACCCGCCATCCATCCTTGAAGCTGTTGCAAACGAATTGTTACGACGAATGGGCGCGGCGTTCAGGCGAGAACCCTATTTCGAAAACGGCTGCCCCTCCATCGCTGAAGCTGCTACAAACTTTTTAGACGAATGTGCACGGCGTTCAGGCGAGAGTCCCAGGTTGAAAGCGGCTGTATCTCCATCCTTGAAGCTGTTGCAGACTTTTGGGGCGAATGTGCGCGGCGCTCAGCCGAGAGCCCCAACCTACCCCCAATTAACCCCCCCCTTCATCCTTGAGACTGTTGCTGCCAATTTCAGCTTCAGGATCGTTAGTGGTGGGGGAGTCTCAGCGTCTCGGCAGGCGAGCGCAGCGCCACATTACCGACACGCAGGGGGTAGCGGCAGGGATCTGTTGCTCACGAGGGCAAGGAATGAGGGAGAAGGGGGAGGAGGAGGAAGGAGATGGACGGCGTGGAGGAGGGGGAGGAGGAGGAGGAGGAGGAGGAGGAGGAGGAGGTGGAGGAGGAGGAGGACGAGGACGAGGACGAGGAGGAGGAGGAGGAGGAGGAAGAAGGAGGAGGAGAAAGGAGGAGGAGGAGGGAGGAGGAGGGGAGGAGGAGGAGGAGGGGAGGAGAGAGGGAGGACGAGGAGGGAGAGGAGGAGGAGAGGGAAGAGGAGGAGGAGGGAGGAGGAGAGCGGGAGGAGGAGAAGGAGGACCAGGAGAAGAGAAGAGAGGAGGAAGAAGGATGCGGAGGATAGGAGGATGAGGAGGATTAGGATGAGGATGATTATGAGAATGAGGGAGGAGGAGGAGAGGAGGAGGAGGAGGAGGAGGAGAAGGACGAAGGAGATGGACGGTGTGGGAGAGGGGGGGAGGAGAGAGAGGAGGGAGGAGGAGGAGGAGGAGGAGGAGGAGGAGGAGGAGAGGAGAATGAGGATGAGGAGGATTAGGATTAGGACGAGGAGGAGGGGAGGAGGAGGAGGAGGAGGAGGAGAGGAGGAGCAGGAGGAGGAGGAGGAGGAGAGGAGGAGGAGGAGGAGGAGGAGGAGGAGGAACAGGAGGAGGAGAAGGAGGACCAGGAGGAGGCGGAGGAGAAGAAGAAGAAGGATGTGGAGGAGAAGAAGTAAGATGAGGAGGAGGAGGATGATTAGGATGAGGATGAGGATGATGATGATGCTGATGATGCTGCTGATGATGACGAAGCGGATCCTGATGCTGCTGCTGATGATTATGTGGATGTTTGATGATGATGACGACGATGATGATGACGATACTGATTATGATGATGAGAGTGCGTGCACAGTAATGACGACACGGGGGCCGTACAGTGACACGAGTAGGGGGAAGGTAGCAAGAGCGTCGCGTGCCTCGCCCGTCCCGTGCTCATAGCCTTCTGTTGTTCAGGAGGTTCGCGCGCGCCGCCCGCCGCCGCCACGCCAGCCCGTGCATGCCAAAGTGGCTCGCGGACGCTGTGCTGGAGGCTGCGCGGGAGACGCTGCGTACGGCGGGCACCGCGAGCCTGGTGTGGGCTAGGCAGACCGCGCAGGTGTGCCCCGACTGCACCTGCACTCCCAGCCTGGCGTGCCCTGCCCTGCAGTGCCCGCCCTGCACGCTCGGGGGCGCGGCCTGCCCGAGCTGTCCGGAGGTCAGCTGCCCGAGGGCGGCGCCCGACCTCAGCAGGTGGTGGATCGTCGCGGTGGTGGTCGCGGGCCTCTTCGGGCTGGCGACGGGCTGCTGCGCGGGGGCCTTGTTCGGCTCGGGGCTTCGCCGGGCGGTGCATGGCCGATTCGAGGCCAATCGCCCCAGGTCGCTTGATTCTGGTGTGGTACGGGGGCGGGGAGGCGCACTGGCACGAGCGCCTCCTGCTCTGCAAGGTGCGGGGAACGACGTGGGTCATCGTCACTCCTGATGGCGATGTCTATCCAGAGGACATCCGGGCCCTCGGAGGCACGCCTTGCCTGCAAGGGTCTGTGCCACCGGCGATCCCCGCCAACGCTCTGCTGTACAGGTTCCCGCCGCTCGGCCAGCTGCACACGGCGGCGGAGTGGCGTCAGATCTTCGACGACGGGATCGCGACCGCCCAGATGAAGAGGGCGGGGCTGGGCATCGACGACGACGCTGCTGATGCTGAGTCTGGTGCTGTGCGTGATCGGGTGGGTCAACATGGCTGGACCGCCGGGACGGGCCTGCCGGCTGGACCGCCGCCCGCTGGAGCCGGCGCCGGGGCCGGGGCTCTGGTGGCAGACGTGGGCGCGGCTCCCGCGGCCGACGGCCTGGCCGCCCCGCCTGCTGTGCCGCTCGCCGCCGTGGGTGGGGGCGCCGCCATCCCAGGGGCTGGAGCAGCCATGGGGGCAGGGGTGGCGCCCGGAGGCGGTCCCGCCCCTGGCATGCAGTGGATCGTGGTGGCGAACGACGGCCAGCCGGGGGCGCCCTCCATCGGGTCCGACTGGAGCGTGGACGCCACGGCCAGCGTCATGGGCAAGTTCGCGCTGGTCAAGCTTGGGACGGCCACCCTCGTGCTGGAGAGCATCGCGGTCGGCAACAAGAAGAATGTGCTGGTCTCGAGGAAGGGCGAGCTCGAGCAGGCGGTGGACCGAGCTTCTGGGCCCGGTCTGCCAGGAGCTGGCCTCGGACCTCAAGCGAATGGAGACGGGCCGGCGGCTGCAGCGCCGCTCAAGTCTGTTGACGCTCGAGTGCTGCCCGTGCTGTACGACCAGACGGGCCAGAGGTTCAGGGCCTACACTAATGCCGTCGGGCTGCTGGAGGAGCCACGGTTCGACGACTTCCCGGTGGTTGGCCCAAGAACGACTCTCTGGCTGTGCAAGTTCATCAGAGACCAGGGGAGCGTGCCCCGCACCAGGACCGAGAAGTGGATGCGAGACGCCCATGTGCCGGACAACGACAGAGTCAAGCACGAGCATGGCAGTCTCATGGAGATTCTTGAGACAGCGCTCACATATGACCAGCTGGACGTGTCTGCCCTCGCCTCTTTCGAGATCCTGTCGAGGAGGATTCAGCTGCTGGAGGAGGCGTACACGTCCAACCCGAAGGCGCCGCGGTTCGAGGGGAGCGAGCACTTCCAGGGCCTTGGCAGGAAAGTCGCGGCCGTGGCGCCGCTACTCACCTCGCGCGTGGCGTTGCAGCTCCAAGGCGAGGCTGCGATCCAGAAAGAACGACGCAAGGCCCGCGAGGAGGCGGCCCTTGCTAAGAAGGGCTAGCCGCCCCGCGGTATTTCGATTTTCGTGGCCCGACTTGGGCCGCCGCCGAGTGGCTGTCTTCTGCGAGGGCTGCGACGAGTTTTTGACCAAGGCATGGCGGACGGTCGACAGCGTGACCTTCTACCCCTGCCTCGACTTCATGATTGGGAAGGCCCTCGTAGCTCACTCAGTCGTGGCGTTCAACAACGTATTTGCCGCCGTGCTTGGATCGACAGGCGCGCCGACGAGAATTTTTTGGGGTCTCAACGAGCTCGGGGGCTTCGGTGACAAGTCGCCCAGCGGTCCTGGTGGTGAGCAGGCGCGTGCTGCTTCTGCCCTGGCTCGTGAAGCGGTTGAAGCTGTGCCCTTGCCTAAGGAGAGACCCGCCCCGCAAGAAGCCCTCGCGGCGCTTCTGCGTACAGACGCCCGCTATGGTGACAGCGAGTGTGCCGGGAACATTGCACCGTTTGGCTCGGCTTCAGCGTCTCCGCCGAGTCGCGACCTGCACGGGGTGGACATCTACGACGTTCTGCCCTCGGACGCGTCGCACAAGTTTAAGCGGTTTCGCGACACCATCCTTCTCAGTGACGAGGAGTGTGCATTGCGTATCAAGAGCGAGGGACTGCCCAATCCTTACTTTGACCCAGTGCTGGAGGCACATCCTGCGAAGTGGGAGGGTTTTTGTCGGGATCTGCGTGACAGGGGACTGGTGCGCTGGACTCGAACCTACGAAGAAAGGGTGGGATTGTTCTTTGTTCACAAAAAGAGTGGTGACTTACGATTTATATGCGATGCACGAAGGACCAACATACGATTTGACATCCCAGACTCAATACATCTTGCTACTGGCAACTCGCTCAGCCGTCTTCAGTGCGCATCTGACCAGACCATCTTTCCGCCCAGCCTTGATATTAAGGGCTACCTCCACAAGCTCAGGATCGATGAGGAACTCCCTCAGTACCTTGCTCTACCAGCAGTCCGTGCCGCGGCTGTGGGGGTGGAGAGCATCAATGGTATCAAGGTTGGTCCCAGCGAGCTCTTCTACCCGGCTCTGCAGTCACTACCGATGGGCTTTTCGTGGGCAGTGAGGGCGGCCCAACTCGTCCATGAGGAGCTCCTGCGGCGGGCTGGTCTTCCTCCAGCTCGCCTTCTTCGCGACGGCATACCTCCTCCTTCGCTCGAGGGGGGGCCTGTTCAGCTGACATGCGTCGACAACTTCGGGGTCTTCGGCTGTGACGAGGCCGAGGTTGAGGCCACGCATCGCCAGGCTCTCGAAGGCATTCGGCACGCAGACTTTCACGTGCATGAGATCGAGCAGGTCAGCACTTCTTTGGACATCGTGGGAGTGCACCTCGATGGGGGCAAGAAGGTGGTCAGACTATCCCCCGCCAGAGCGTGGCAACTGTACTCGGGGCTACATGCTCGCGCACGACGCGGGCGCTGCACTGGGGGGGAGATGCGAGCCACACTTGGGCACCTCTGCTTCGCTTTCTTGCTTCGGCGCCCTTGTCTGTCCTGCATCGCGGCCCCCTTTGCCTTTGCCGAGGCTGCAGGAGGGGAGCCAAAGAACCTCTGGCGGAGCGTCAAGAGGGAGCTCATCATCGCCGCTGCCCTCCTGCCGCTGGTCTACGCCGACATCGGGGCGGGCTGGCTCGACCAGGTGGTTGCGACGGATGCTTGCGATACTGGGCTTGGCGCCTGTGCTGCTGAGCAGGGCTCTCCAGATATACGAATCACGGGCAGCTACGACGAGCGCTGGAGGTTCAAGAAGGAGGCGAGGGGCGCCAAGCTCGGGTTCAAGCACGTGGTTCGTTGCGGGCGCTGGCGGCACAGCAAGGTGCTCATGCTGGTGGACAATATGTCACTCACGCTGGCCATGCAGAAGGGCCGCTGTCGCGATCCAGCCCTCCTGGGCCAGCTTCGTCAGATGACCGCGCTGCAGCTCGCCACTGGGCTGCGGATGCGGTGCCGCTGGGTCCCGTCCGAGGTCAATCCTGCTGATCAACCTTCGCGGCTTTGGGAACCTGCAGCTGCTGCTCTGGGCCACGCATGGCGTCCTCCTCCTGGGCTCCCCCATCCTGATGACGGGCGTGGTGTCGAGGGCGCATGCGACGAGGCGCAGAGTGGCGACAGGCATCGCGACACGCAACGTGACGCAGCGGGTCGAGGCGGGGCCAGCGATGCATCTGGATCTTCCCGACCTTCGAGTGCGCGAAGCTGTGCCACTGGAAGACGGGCAGTCGCCTCAGGCATCGCTGTGAGGCCCGTCCAGGTCGAGGATTACCACAGGCGGATCGAGGAGTTCTACGAGTACGCCCGCCGCCAGGGCTTGGACGCCAGCACCCTGGACTCGCTGGAGACGGCCCTCCTGGACTGGGCGGACTGGGCTGAAGTGGTCGCTGATCCTGGGGCCTTCGGACAGCAACGAAGGCCCCACCAAGACGGGCGTCTACGACGACAGCGTGACGATGGACCACGAGAACCTGCAGTTCCTCGGCCACTTCTTCAAGCTGTACCGCCAGGAGAGGGGGACGAGCGACTCGCTGTGGGGCCTGACGCAGGCGGAGTTCGAGGCCATTGTCGCGAAGACGCTGAATGTGTGCCGGCTCGAGGGCCTGGGGATCGTCCCCCACGGCCTTCGGCACGCAGGCCAGTCGTGGGGCGTCATCACGGGCAGGAGGTCTCAGGTGAAGGTCCAGCGTCGCGGGCGCTGGGCCAGCATGAGCTCTCGCATCAGGTACGAGAAGTCCAGCAAGGTCAACTTCCTGCTCGTGGGCCTAGACGACAGCGTCCAGGAGTACCTCTGGCTCTGCACGGCGCACCTTGGAGACATCCTCCTCGGCGCGGTGAGCGCGCCCCGACCGCCTGGTTGGAGCGAGGCGACCTTTTCCTCAACATCTTCGCTGGTTCCGAGGGAGTCGGCAAGACGGTGGCGAGGTGTGGCATCTCGTCGCCAGAGATACAGCTCGAGCCTGAGATCGACATTTTTGCGCCTGGAATAATAAAGGCACTTCTGAAGTTGATCCGCTCGGGCCGCGTGCAGGGAATATTCGTGGCTACGCCATGCCGCTCATTCAGTATCGCTAGAGTGCTGTTCGTTCTCCTGAGTACCGTTCATGATCGGGAACCCCGCCTCTGCTATGCTCTGGTTCGTCCAGTTTTTGAAGCACATCGCAGAATCCAAGTTCGCTGAGTCTGTTGTTTTCGACCTGTGCAAGTTCGGGACTGACTTCAGGAAGCGGACCACCATCTTGTATCCTCAGATCTCGACAACTCCTTCCTGATCCGAAGATGTGTGGGCAAATCGATATATGCTCTAGGTCAGGAAAACCCCACGACATCTTGAAGGGAAAAGAAAATGCTGGTTGGAAGACCGACCGTGCTAACCATTACCCACCTCGTCTCTGCACTGCTATCCCCTGCACCTTCAGATTCCTGTGGGCCCAGAAGCACGTTGCGAGTTCGGTGGCACGGACGACCACCCCTCCAGGATCGGCCTCTCCCTCCCGTACCCGCCCGAGGCCAAAACATCTCTGAGATTCGGGACCTCTTGATGGTGATTGGGGACATGGAGCAGTAGAGTTCTATGCTGATTGGTGGCAAGCCTGTGATGAATCGCTTTGGGATATCATTCTATTGGCCGAGTAAATCGTCATGAGAGTGCGTGCGCAGTAATGACGACACGGGGGCCGTACAGTGACACGAGTAGGGGGAAGGTAGCAAGAGCGTCGCGTGCCTCGCCCGTCCCGTGCTCATAGCCTTCTGTTGTTCCCGACCCGACCCGCCCTGGGACACAAGCCTGTGATGAATCGCTTTGGGATATCATTCTATTGGCCGAGTAAATCGTCATGATGATGATGATGATGTTCTTGCTGTTGATGCTGATGATGTTGCTACTGGTGATGCTGATGATGTTGATTATGAGTATGATGATGTTGATGATGGTGGTGATGATGCCGACGACGATGACGATTATGCTGATGATGATGATCCTGATGATGATTATGATGATGATGATGATGACGCTGCTGATGATGACGATGCTGATGATGATTATTAGAACGATTATGATGCTGATGATGACGACGATGTTGATGATGCTGATGATGACGCTGATGATGATGCTCATCATGATGATGATGACGATGATGATGATGACGATGATGATGATGATGATGCTGATGACGATGCTGATGGTGCTGATGATGATGAGGATGATGATGAATATGATGATGCTGTTGCTGATGATGCTGCTGGTGGTGATGATGTTGGTGATGATGATGATGATGCTGCTGATGATGATGTTGTTGATGATGATGATGATGATGATGATGATGATGATGGTGATGGTGATGGTGATGGTGATGGTGATGGTGATGGTGATGATGATGATGATGATGTGGAGAAGGAGGAAGAGGAGGAGGAGGAGGAGGAGGAGGAGGAGGAGGAGGAGGAGGAGGAGGAGGAGGAGGAGGAGGTGTAGAGGAGGAGGAGGAGCGAGAAGGAGGAGGAGGAGGAGGGGGCCGAGGACGAGGAGGGGAGGCGGAAGGAGGAGGAGGAGGAGGAGGACGGCGAGTAGGGACAGGGAGGAGGAAGGCGAAAGAGGACGGCAAGGAGTGGACGGTGAGGAGCGAGGAGGGGAGTGAGACGAGGGAGGAGGAAACAGCACAGCAGAGAGCGAAAACACCACCAGCAGGAGAGGAACAGGGGGAGGAGGCCGAGGAGGAGGCAGGGAGGAGGAGGAGGAGGAGGAGGAGGAGGAGGAGGAGGAAGTCGCCGCCCAGTGCCAGGACAGGGAAAGGCCGCCATGGCGCTCGTCGCCCCAAGGCCCGCGGAGGTCGCTGGTGGGCGCGCAGAGGTGGCCGTGGGCTCTGAGGAGGCCACGGCCAGCCAGGGTGCTGCCGAGGCGAGCTGGGAAGGAGGGAGGGGGGGAATGCCTAGAGACAGCGCTGGCTTCCGCGGGGCCGCTTGCCCAGCAGTGTCGGCGGGCCCAGCGTCGCGGCCAGGTGGCACGCCCCATCCCCCTCCTCCTCTCCTCCTCCTTCTACCCTTCCCTACTCTCCTATACTCTGCCCTACTCTTCTCCTCCGCGTCCTCCGCGTCCTCCTCGTCCTTCTCGTACTCCTCGTACTCCTCCTCCTCCCCCTCCTCCTCCTTCTCCTCCTCCTCCTCCTCCTCCTCCTCCTCCTCCTCCTCCTCCTCCTCCTCCAGGGCATGCCCAGCAGCGCTGTCCAAAGGCCGGCAGAGGGACGCGTGGACCACCTCTCCCCCTGCTGTTGCGTGCTGCCTTGCCTCAGTCAGCGCTGGGAAGGAGTGAAAGGGGGAGGGGGGGATGAGAGAATAAACAAATACCGATACCGTTACCCTTCCCTCGTTACTACGAGTGTATTTGCTTCGAAATCTTGGTCAGAACGCACCCTGGGAGATGTCCGTGGTGTAGCGGTGTTAGTATCTCTTTGTTCCCACTAGGGAGGTAGGGAGGGGGGGAAGGAGGGAGGGGGATAGTGGAGAGGCGGACGGGAAAGGAGCGCCCTGACCCTGGATCTTTCCTGGACCGCTGCCGTCCGATCTCGCACTGCGGGTCAAGGATGCAGTGGCTCCGCCGGTCACAGGTGACCAAGAGTCCGCGGGCCAGGCTGGCTACCGGTCGACCGGCGTGAGCAGCAGCAGCAGCAGCGGCAGCAGAGAGAGAGAGAGAGAGAGAGAGAGATCAAGAGAGAGAGAGAGAGAGAAAGAGTTGTTTCGCCCTCTTCGCGCACGCTCCGCAGAGAGTGGCAACAGGCACTGCCTTCCTGCGCACCGCCGCTTCGAAGGTGGGCGGTGGCAGCAGCCTTTCGCGGAAGGCGCCCTATTTCGAGACACAGGGTTGTCGTCTGTTCTTAGCGAAAGGGGGTTCTTGACGGGACCGTTGACACGGTCTTGGAGCTACGGGCCAATTGTGACTAGGATCTCAGGCGCTGCTAAGATGCGCTTTCTCCCGCAATCCTGTCTTACGACACTAGTGGATTCGGAGTTCTGTCGCTCTGAGTGTTTAGTTGGTCTCTTTGTGCGTTGCTTCGATTATTTGGTGCCCGCTGCGGCCTTGTCGTTGCAAGTACGGCTCGTTGCTTGCCTCGCCATTCTGGGGCATACTATCCGAATGCGCCCTAGAGCTCCGTGGTTGGGGCCCAGACCAGTCCGCCCATGATTGATCCTGGACCCAGGCCCAGCCTCGTTCACGCAGGAGGTTGGGATGGTGTCGCGGTCATGGGCTTGGGCCCGGGCGGACCAGCGACATTTCATGTGAATGGGCGGCGTTGAGAGGAAGCCTCGAGGTTGGCGCTTTTGCGTGGCATTTGGTCGGGCAGAAGCGCGAATGTTCACACACAAACACATTCACCCTCATGCACACACACATGCACACACCCACACACACATGCGCACACTCACACGCACGCACGAACGCACACACACACACATGCACACACACACTTCACTTACACGCTCACACACGTGCAGACTTACACGCTTTCACACTCACACTTACACACTCTTACACACACACACACTTACACACACTTACACACACTTGCACACACTTACACACACACACACACACACACGCTCGCACACACACACACACACACACACACACACACACACACACACACACACACACACACGCACACACACGCACACGCACACGCACACGCACACACACGCACACGCACACGCACACGCACACGCACACGCACACGCACACGCACACGCACACGCACACGCACACGCACACGCACACGCACACGCACGCACAGTGTGCTCCCGCCCTTCTGCCTCTTCCCCTCATTCCCGCTGGGCCGCAGGCGGGCGCGGGCGCGGGGCCGGGCGTCGCAGCAGAGGGGGAGGAGCAGGCCGCTCGGCGCCAGCAGCTGTCGACGTCGTGGTGGACGACGAAGAGGAGGGGGGAGGGGGGGAAGGAAGGGGGGAGGAGGGAGGGAGGAGGAATGAGGGAGGTGGGAGGACGGAGGAGGAGGAGGAAGAGGAGGAGGAGGAGGAGGAGGAGGAGGAGGAGGAGGAGGAGGAGGAGGACGGAGCAGGAGGAGGAGGAGGAGGAGGAGGAGGACGGAGCAGGAGGAGGACCAGTGTAAACCCAAGAGTCACCTACGATATTGGAGTAAACCCTGCCCCCAAGCTCCCTTTTCATAGGCCCCTATCACGGTTCCCTTCAGAGGCACGTGGCCAATCGTGTAGCACAATGGGGGACTTGTCGGGAGCGGCGACACGCGCACGAAGAAGCGTCGTGTACTGTCTTCGCGATGGTCTCAGAGCACCAATGGCCACTGCCTCGCTGCACGAGAAGCATGATCATGTAGCAAGCGTGTGGTTATTTCTATTGTAATTTATTCTTGTTCCCAGCCCTCCTGTGTTGGGTACTCGTTTTGAATAGAGCAGTGTGGTCGCCCCGTCCTTCCTTCCTTCCTTCTCCTCCCCTCTCCTCGCCTCCTCCTTCTCTCCTGTTTCCTGTGTTCCCCTCTCCTCTTCTCTCGTGCCGTCGGGTTGCGGTTCCCTCGTGCCGTCGGGCTGCGATCTGCTCAACTGTCGCCACTTTCGTGGGCTCCTGGGAGGCCCAGCGGAGGTGGGTCCCACGCGGATCACCTCGGTACCCCGCCGCCCCCTGAGGGGCTTGCGATCTGCGCAACCGTCGCCATTTTCGTGGGCTCCTGGGAGGCCCAGCGGAGGTGGGTTCCACGCGGATCACCTCGGTACCTCGCCGCCCATTTGGGGGGCTTCCGATCTGCGCAACCGTCGCCTTTTTCGTAGGCTCCTGGGAGGCCCAGCGGAGGTGGGTCCCACGCGGATCACTTCGGTACTTCGCCGCCCCTGGGGGGCTGCGATCTGCGCAATTGTTGCCACTTTCGTGGGCTCCTGGGAGGCCCAGTGGAGATACCTCATACGGGGATCACCACGGGACCTCGCCGCCCCAGGGGGGTTGGGATCTGCGCAATTGTCGCCACTTTGCTGGGCTCCTGGGAGGCCCAGCGGAGGTACGTCATACGGGGATCACCACGGGACCTCGCCGCTCGTTGGGGGGTGTGATCTGCGCAATTGTTGCCAGTTTCGTGGGCTCCTGGGAGGCCCAGCGGAGGTACGTCATACGCGGATCACCACAGGTCCTCGCCGCCTCTGGGGGGCTTGCCATCTGCGCAATTGTCGCCACTTTCGTGGGCTCCTGGGAGGCCCAGCGGAGGTACGTCATACTCGGATCACCACGGGACCTCGCCGCCCGTGGGGGGCTGCGATCTGCGCAATTGTCGCCACTTTCGTGGGCTCTTGGGATGCCCAGCGGAGGTGGGTCCCCCGCGGATCACCTTGGTACCTCGCCGCCCCCTAGGGGCTGTGATCTGCGCAATTGTCGCCACTTTCGTGGGCTCCTGGGAGGCCCAGCGGAGGTACGTCATACGCGGATCACCACGGGACTGTTTGTTGCGCTCTTCTGAAAGTACTGTTAGGTGCTCTTTCTGCGCATTGTGGGTCCTTCAGAATGCCAGTCAGCATTGAATGGTCCTGAGTTTAACGGCCGCATGTATAGAAAGGGTTGGGTACGTCACAGGGTAATTATTGTCCTCTTCGCTTATTATTATTCGTTTTCATCGTTTGTTATTATTAGTATTATTATTGCTATTATTAGTATTGTTGTTATTTCTCTTGTTATATTACAACTATAAGTATAAGTATGATTATAAGTTCTGTTATTATTATTAGTAGTAGTATTATTATTATAATTCCTCTTCTTCTTCGTCACTTGGGTTGCAAGGGTGGGAAATCGACGAGCACTGTGTTGTGTTGGCCAACCCTCTGTTGGCCATTTCGGCGCTCGCGCCATCTCAGTAGAATTACCAGTAGTGGCTTTTGCAACTAAGAAAGAGCGCGTTCTGTGGGCGCTTGGAGGGGGGTCTGGAACCGGTCCCCCACCCCTTCGGGCCTGCGCCGCCGCCGCGTGGGCCTGGGCCTGGGCGTGGGCGCGGGAGTGGGCGTGCGTGTGGGCGCGGACGTGGGCGTGGGCGTGGGCGTGCGCGTGGGCGTGGGCTTGGATTTGAGCGTGGGCGTGGGCGTGGGTGTGGGCGTGGGCGTGGGCGTGGGCGCGGGTGTGGGCGTGGGCGTGGGCATGGGCGTGGGCGCGGGTGTGGGCGTGGGCGTGCGTGTGAGCGTGATCATGGGCGTGGGTTTGGGCGTGGGTGCGGGCCTGGGAGTGGGCGTGGGCGTGGGCTGTTGCGTGGACGTGGGCGTGGGCGCGGGCGTGGGTGTGGGCGTGGGCGTGGGCGTGGGTGTGGGCGTGGGCGTGCGTGTGAGCGTTGGCGCGGGCATGGGCGCGGGCGCGGGCTTGAGCGTGGGTGTGGGCGTGGGCGTGGGCGCGGGCGTGGGCGCGGGTATGGGCGTGGGCGTGGGCGTGCGCGTGCGCACGGGCGTGGGCGTGGGTGTGGGTGCGGACCTGGGCGTGGGCGCGGGTGTGGGCGTGGGCGTGCGTATGAGCGTTGGCGTGGGCGTAGGCGTAGGCGTTGGTGCGGGCGTGGGCGCGGGCGTGGGCGTGTGTGTGGGCGTGGGCGTGGGCGTGGGCGTGGGCGTGTGCGTTGGGTGTGGGTTTGGGCGTGGGTATGGGCGTTGGTGTGGACGTGGTCTTGGGTGTGGGCGTGGGTGTGGGTTTGGGCTTTGGCCTGGGCCTGGGCCTGGGCCGGGTGTGGGTTGGAGCGTGTGCGTTGGGTGTGGGTTTGGGCGTGCCCGTGGGCGTGGGTGTGGGCTTGGGCGTGGGTGTGGGCGTGGGTGTGGGCATGGGCGTGGGCGCGGGCGCGGAGCGGGCGTGGGCGTGGGCACGGGCGGGGCGGGGCGTGGGCGTGGGCCCGTGTGGGTGCGGCGTGAGCGTGGGCGTGGGCGTGGCGTGGTGGGGCGTGGGAGTGGGTGTGGGCGTGGGCGTGGGCGCGGGTGTGGGCGGGGGCGTGCGTGTGGCGTGTGGGGGTGGACGTGGGCGTGGAGGTAGTGCGCGGCGTGGCGTGGCGGTGGCGTGGCTGGGCGTGTGCGGGGTGTGGGGCGTGGGGACTGGGCGCGGGTGTGGGCGCGGGCGTGCGTGTGCAAGAGTTGGGCGTGGGCTGTGGGCGCGGGCGTGGGCGCGGGCGTGGGCGCGGGCGTGGGCGTGGGCGTGCGTGTGAGGGTTGGCGTGGGCGTGGGCGTTGGCGCGGGCGTGGGCGCGGGCATGGGCGTGGGTGTGGGCGTGGGCGTGGGCGTTGGCGTGGGTGTAGGTGTGGGCGTGGGTGTGGGCGTCGGCGCCGACAGCCGCCGCTGCCGCCGCTGACGCCGGCGCCGGCGCGCGGGGGCATGCGCCGAGGGGGGGTTTCGACCCCACACCCCCACGCGCCGAAGGGGGGGGGGTTTGGGGAGTGGGGGGGGGAGGGGGGGGGGATCCTGGTTCTGTTCGACGGCGCCGAATGGGGATCATTAGGAATACGTAGGGGATCCTCAGGAATCCCGAGGGAATCCTCAGGAATCCCTAGGGGATCCTTAGGTATCCATGGGGCCTTAGGGAACCTCCAGGAATCCTTTTTGGGAATCCTTAGGAATCCCACATCCTCATTGCCGCCCGCCCAGCCAAGAATAATTGACGTTGCGCGCCACCCGTAATTCAAATTCAGCATCCATGCTCAAGCAGCAGGGCCGCGCACGCCAAGAATAATAATTTTAAGCTTTCATTCTCCGTCGACAATTTCAAGGTTACCTTGTAAATTCAAGCCCCAGGCCGGCCCCAGAAGAATAAACTTGCATTTAGTTTTGTTTCATATCATATTGAGATCCTTGGGCAATTCCAGGGTAACCTTGGAATTACCAGAACAAAAGACGGAAGAAGTAGTGAATCGATAGGGTTGAACAGTCTTTAGCGCCACGTAATATGTTCTAGGGGGCACCCCCAGTTCAAACGCGTCGCCGAATGTTCCCAAGGCAAGCGCCCGTGAAACGCGCTCCCTTACAACTAAGCACCTCGATGGTTCGCAGCGTTGGGCACTTGAAGGCGGCAACCTGGTACCTAGCAGCTTCCGTGGGTCGTAACGAAGCGACCGAGGGCCCCACATATCGCCAATGGCAGTTGATGATATGTTATGTGTACACGCGCATGTCGACGCTTCGTTTTATAAGCGACGCGCTGACATCACGAGTACAGCCAGGAACCAGGGTCACGAACAAAAGCTGCCCTCCAGCGGGTCCCTTCCTAACATGCTCCAGAAAAGAGTCGCAGCCCGTGCGTGGAGAGTAAGTTAAGCCCCGCCTCCTCGAAACCTGCACTACTTTCGCAGCTTGTCGCAGGACGCCCTAGAGACATCTAACTTTGGCTAGATTATAAGCCCTCCCAGTTTGCTCGCATTGTCTCGTGTCACCAGCCAGCTTTGGCTTGCCTGCTCTCCTGCTCTTCTTCATTGTCTCCTAATCCTGCTTCTCCTCCTCCTCCTCCTCCTCCACCGTCCTCCTCCTCCTCCCCCTCCTCCTCCTCGCCTCCTCCTCCTCCTCCTCCTTCTCCTCCTCTGTGAAACGGAGGTACGGGAAGATTTTATCAAGGTCGATGTAGGCCTCCTTCGGGCCCAAGATGTAAAAAAACCGTGCAATGAGGGAGGTCTTGGGAAGCATGGTCGACGTGAGGGGGGAGATGGATTGTGGAAGTGTTTCTTCGAAGATAATGGTGCATGTTGTGATGCGGCGTTTGAGTCGAGTCGGGCTTTATCCACACACATACAACGTGTGCATCACAGAACTGATGTATATGCTTCGATTGTGGTGACAAATCAATGTCCATATTGTGCTGAGGTTTTCTCGAGTCATCAAGCGGCGTACAGGCACGTTATTGCGAAGCGTGCTCGTCCTGGTCGGGTGTCAAGATGTAGATATCTGGGACCTGTTATTGAACCGAAGTCTTTGGAGTGCCCGTTATGTGAGTATTCGGCTCAAACTCTAACTGACCTGAACCATCACATTGTTGAACACGCACCAGCCCATACGCATGCAGCTCGAGGAGCTGAGGTGCACGCTCAAACGAAGTACCGATGGGCAGGAGGAGGAGAGCGACAGGAAGAAGTTGCAAAAGCAGATGGGGGCCGAGGATGGAGACGGAGGGTCCATGCTGGCGGTGCTGGAGAGCATGATGAAGGTGCTCGCCGCCCTCGCCCTCACCCAGGCCGCGGAGCTGCACGATCTGATTACGGCGGTCTATTTCACGTTCCTCATCCCGTCAGACGCCAGCATCGCGGTCGCCATAAAAAAGGCGAGCCAAGATTATCTTTGCCTGGCCAAGTTGCTGAAGTCAAGAGGCGGCGGCGGCTACGATATCCTTGGGCCGCCTCATCTACACGTCTTCAAAGCGCTCCTGCAGGCGGCGCACGAGGTACCGGACCCCATGGGCCAGCATCGCGAGAGGACTGCCGAGATATGGGACAAGGTATTGAAGGAGGAGCTGTTCGCTCTGGCGCAGCAGACCCGCCATTACAGGATCGGCGACACCTACAAGAGGGAGAACGCCAGGGACATGATGAGGATCACGATTTGTTCGAGTCAGTGGAGAGATTTGGAGGTGACGGTGGTATCGGCCATCGCGAAGGAGAATGGCGGCCTGTCTCCGTGAGGGCCACGGGAGAGGAGAGCACCCAAGCGCCTAGAAGAAGTGAACAACATGAGCTGAAGAAGAGAGAGCGCATGGGGTCTGAGGAGAGTGAGCTTAGGCGCCTTGCCTCACGTCTTGAAATTTTTTCTGTCCGCATGGCGGAACTCCTTTTAAGAGGGGTGATTTCCCCTGGTGCTGCACTTTCGTTTCTCCGTGCTCGCGAAGGCCGATTTAGGCCACCGAGCAATCATAAAAAAGGGAAGGGTCGGGGTACGGTGGGGGAGTCGGGGGGCGGGAGAAGCTCTGTGTGACTTGCGGCTTGTGCTATCAGGCCCACGGGTGGCCATCCACAGGCCGTGGCGCTTGCAGGCCTGTCTCGGGCCTCCCCGAGCAGTGCGCCTGCCGCCATCTCCAGTTGGCACTATTAGTGTGCCTCGCCGATGCCTTGATTTTGGGACTGAGAGACACTTGGCGTCAATGGCGGTCTTATCTTATCTTATCTTATCCTTCTCCTCCTCCTCCTCCTCCATTCCTTCTCCTTATAGATAACTTGTCCCTGTCGCACCTCGAGGCCAGTTTTTAGGGCGGGCTGGGCGTTTCGCCTGCGACTTCGTGGCAACAGCTTCACAGATGGAGGGCGGGTGGTTTTCAAAATGTGGCTCTCGCCTTAGCGCCGCGCACCTTCGTTCTAACAAAATGCAAGGGTTTCACGGTTTGAGGGCGGGTGGTTTTCAAAATGTGGCTCTCGCGTTAGCGCCGCGCACATTGTTTTAACACATGTGCAATAGTTTCACGGATTGAGGGCGGTTTCTTTTTCAAAATGTGGTTCTCGCGTTAGCGCCGCGCACATTCGTTTAACATATGTGCAAGAGTTTCACGGGTTCCAATGGTCAACGTACCAGAAATGGCGCTTTGGAAAGATTCAGGATTATGCGGGCCCAACAGTTATGTTGACTCGCTGTGTTGAAGTCCCCCAAATGGTGTTCTGGCACGATTCTGGATCGCCAAGACGCAGCAGTCAGGTTGATACGTGGCGTTGAAATCCCGAGAACAATGCTTTGGCACGCTTCGGGATCTTCAAAGTGTTGTCTTCCAACGAGGCTTCCAACGAGGCAGTTCCCTCAATGGACATGAACCGTTGTAGGTGCCTATGAAGAGGGAGCTTGGAGGGAGGGTTAATTCCAACATCGTTGATGACTCTTGGGTTTTCACTGGTCCTCCTCCTCCTTCTCCCCCTCCTCCTTCTCCTCCTCCTCCTCCTCCTCCTCCTCCTCCTCATGTTCCTCCTCCTCTCGTGCTCCTCATCCCTCCTCCTTCCCCTCGTCCTTGTCATCCTCCGTCGTCGCCTGGTCATGATTGAGACCACCAGTCGGCCTTGGCCGGGCTGCAGTCCCCCCCAGGCGGAGGCCAAGGGCGCGGGCAGGAGGCGCCCCAAGGGGCCCAAGGAGAAG